TGGAGGAATTTGGCATGTTATACTCTGCAAAGAAACTAAGGGAGTTTATAGATCCTGCCTCTTGAACCACAGAGTACACAGCATGTGCACAGGCCAGGCTATCGGTTAGTTGTATAAAAAAATCTGCTCAAGAGATTTAGCATTTCAGAAGGTTATTTTCTTTTCTTTTTTTTTTTTGGGGTGGGGGTGAGGAAAGAATTGCCCAGCTCTTAGTTCTTAAGTTAAGAAAAAGTGCATTCATCTGCACAAACTCACATTTCTTCAAGAGAAGCAAGATTTTGCATTGTTATCAATGCCATCCCCTTATTCATTTGTAAGCTCTGTAGTAGCACAAAAATATTTTTTTTCCGTAACTGCCATACAAAATAAATTGCTTTTCCATAGCTTGAGTGGGATTCCTGCTCTCTGGCCTCCTGCTTATACCTTCACTAACTTCTATTTGCTTGATTCATCATCTCAGCTGTTCATCCTGGAAAGGATGTCCAATTTCTATCCCACACAACTAGAATGGGTCCACAAGGCACCTGCTTCCAGAGGAGCTCCAGGGTAAGCTTATACATCAAAGTATACCCATTAGACCTGTGGAATAAGCCCTACCCTTTTATGCCTATTGTGGGCAATGCTGCAACAACTTCTAATGATTTTTTAATGACTTTGGTCTACAAGAGAAACAAGAGAATCCAGGCAGAGTAAACCAAAACTACACCCCAAAGTTTTAGGCCATGGCCATACCAGGAGTGCTGCATGACTTTATCATGTATATGAGAATCTAGAATGGAAATCATTGTAAAAAAATCTGGACTTTTTCCCACCATGCAAATTTGTTGTACTGCACATTAACTTCAAAAATGTTTAATTAAAAAAAATAGTAGAATGTCATTGGCTATTTCTGTTGGGAAGTCAAGGCTTTGGAAATTCGAGTGATATTAAACTAATACAGTTAGTTGCTTGGCTGCAAGAGGCACAACCCTTATCAAGCTAATTACAAGTCAGAGCCAATTGAACAATACTGAATTATTAAGGTCTTACTGTACATTCTCAGGCTGTTAATATCTATTAGATTACAGCTGCATTATACTCAGCACTCATTTCAGCAGGAGATTAGAAAGTACATTTATAATGCTGGCTACTCTTTGGGTGGATCATGGCATTTACATACCATATGTCAGCATGACATTACAGAATGATTTATGCTTTTTGCCCAGACCTTTCAGTAAACTGCAACTGGCTCCAGTAAATTACGAAGCTGAAACCCCATTCCAACCTGACTGACAAATCAGCTCTCAGGGAAAGACCACTAGTGACTGGTACAATCAAACTTCCTAAAAAGTGGCATTTGACTTACCCTATCTAAACACAATTAAGCGATCCATGCTGGTTTTCCTGTCAAGAGGGACACACCAGATGAACTAGGGAGGTCTGCCTCACTGTAAATGAACTAATCCTAACTTGCATGCACAAAAAAAGTGAACAGTCATCTCACTTTTTGGAAAAAAGGGCTGCCCCCAAAGCCATACAAACTACCAACACTCAGGTATCCCAGTTCCCTCTGTAACAATGTAGAGGGCATCCAATGAACAAGGAAAATTACTTGTACTTTGTGGTTGTTATCTGAAAATAGTTACTCAAACACACTGTAGATAATGCCAGTAGTGTGCATCAAAAGAGCTAAAAAGTACCTGGATGCATGCACAAATTGAATTCTGTTTAAAGTTGAATGAACATATTTTAATGTGTATCTATTGCAAGGTATTTTAAAGATGATATGTCAAATAAGTTGTAACACTGAGTCCAACAAAAAGTGGTGTAAAACTTTAAGTCTTTTCAAATAATGCATCACCTGTGTGTACATGTGCATTCACAGCAATCTGTACTTTACCTTCAGTAGGTAAAGCTGTCACGCACCAAAAACAAGAGTGCTTGATTACTGTAACACCGGGTTTACTAAGTTTCACTGTTTCAGAGACTAGGAACAGTATGGGCAGAGGAAAACTCACCAGATTTAGTTGTCAATTTCATTCCCAGCTACTTTGGCTTTTATTTTTTCTAAACCAGTCAAACTTTCGATTATGTTTCATTAAGGGAGCTGGCCATGACAGCAAAAGCAAACTATCATCTTCTATTAGGATGTAGACTTCCAGGATGATGACAGGCAAAAGCAGCTGTCATGCAGGACATCAACATTATCTATCTGCCACTTTATCCGAAGGTTTTGTCCATTAGCTGCATGCCAAACCCCAATTACACATGGAACACAAATGAAAAGCTAAGCAGCAGAAGAATCCCTCACTTTCCTTCCTACCTAGTTAGTAAAGGAGGCTCACTAAACTGTAGGGACATAAGGGCTATTAATGCTCCAGTACAGCACAAGCCTGGAAGAATCAGCCTTGTAAATATTTCAGTGGCAGCAAGAACAGATTGAGATCAAAATACCCTGTCTATCATTGGCCTTGTTAGGTCTAACAGGTATCCATTCCTGCTGAAAACATCCCATTAGCGGGAGGGGACGCTTAGAGGAGAATCAATTTCAACTGCTATCCTATGCTGCCATCCTCTCCCCTTACAAGCCAACAACAGAAGAGACTTCAGAGAGGAAGCAAACAGGAAGGGCCTAAGAATACATGCTTGTCCAAGCATGAATGTTTTTCTTTTTGTTACAGCTCACTCCTAGCCTGTGACAGACAACTGAAAGCCTTTTGCCAGTGAGTATGGCAATTCCTTTCAGACCAAGGCGAGGGGGGGGCAGGATGAGGGAGTGGAATAAAGCAAAACACTGGATTTTATCTAGAGGAAAAAACTACATGTGTCTTCAAAGCTATTTAACTTTGCCCCTGATGAACACACTGCTGGTGGCAGAGTATTCGGCTACTGATCTCTTCTTCCTTCTTGCTTCCGCAGTTGAACATGAAGTTTGAAACAATCTCTGTAACTTTTAATATTTGTTTCCACAACAGTCAGGTTGGTGATAACACATCGCAACCTTTCACCCCTATGTGCAAATGAAATAAAAGGTAAAAAAGGCAGCATTGGAGGAGGAAGAAATTCTTTAACAGAAGGAAAGTGTTTGTGCAGCAGGTCCAAGAATTCACTCCAGGAAAACCTGGGCAAAACTAGCATGCAGGGACAACATGATACACTTTACAGATGTCAAGTTTAACCACCTGAAATTGTAAAAGACAAATTCTTTGCTCCAGGTCATAAAAGTAAATAGACACCAACAGATCCCAGACCACGCATATCCTGGACCAGTACTGGTAAGAGGATGTTTTTAACTTTCCAGGTCTGCACCTGGGTGGAAGAACCACAGAAAAATCTCTGCTGAAATTAAAAGAAAGCAAAAGAACATAAGTCACTGTTGCATCCAAGACAATTCTGTTTCATTTCTTTCAAAATACTGCACAAATACTTTGTATCATTGTAGGCTGCAGCTGTATTGCTTACAAATATTGCTGCATCTGGGAATATGAATTCCTCCGCTGAAAAACAACAGCCGTTTGTACAGTGGAGTAACAACAGTGGAAGAACTGAAACATGCCTTGAACTTGAAGGTCTCTGCTTCGAAGAAGTGAAACACAACTTCATGGCTGTGCTTTATTCACTCACTGCAGAAGCAAATGCACGTCCTCATTTATCTATTTACTCACTTCTGGAACCAGTTAGGCCCCTAGTCCTTGGACAGTAGTTTCACTGACAGCACAAATCCCCTTGTTGCCTCCTACAGCTACAGGAAAACAAGAATACTCAGTAATTATTACTCATTGTTCACATTGCAAGGTCGATTCTCTCTATTGCCCAGAAAATAGCAATTTATTTTTTATTTCTAAATACACTGCAATTTATGTTTCACACAGTTATATCCCTCCTTCTCTCCATCAGGGAATTAGAAAGATATTTTCAACTCAAGATGTCATTTAGCTAGGGAGGGATGGTATGGCTCCTTCCTGGACTGTGAGGCTGACAGCAAAACTAGATCCTCACGCCCTCGGAGAAGAAACAAGCGTCAAGTTATTTGATTTTAATGCATAGGACAATCATCTTTACATGCAATGCTGATGCAAGTGTCTCTCAATGTATTTGCCAATTTTCCAGCATTCTGTGGTATCCTACTCTTTCTACATATTACTCAAGTAAAATACACACCCTGCTAACTGCTCTGTCCCATGCAAGCAACTCAGTAGAAAATGTTCCTTACATATCAGTAGTTTTATCCTTCAACCCTCCCGTCCCTCCTCTTATGATAAGCAATTTCAGTTTGTGTCATTTTAGAATATAAACATTGTGCTAAACACCTAAACAGCAGCTCCAGTATAACAAATCTATTCCATTTCAGGCAGTATATGGTTACTCAAGACAAACCAGAAGGCCTTGTATCTTTTATTTTGCATTAGAAATTTCTTATATTCATCTGCATGGCTGAAATCTATTAAACTAAATCTAAAACTACTGCCCCACCCTGATACAAATTTGGTTTCAGGAAACAAAGTAAGTTTTATTTTAAAGTGAAAAGAAGCATATGAACATCATAGTATAATGTGTAAAAACAGTAATTCTCAACAAATCTAGAAAAGGAATATGTAACTATAGGGTTGTTGCAAAAAGAAATCAGATTCTTTGGAATATATAATAATGGTTATAAATTTAAATAATTCTAGAACATTTTCCCATTTCTCAACAATAAAAAGCCAAAATATGTCAGATATCTTGAGGTGAATACTTGTTATTTACCCTACATCTAAAGCAAATACATGAAATACTTTAAATGTTATTTCTAAAGCATCTTCAGCTTATAATCACTAAGTGTCTGCACTTTGGCAATTCTCCAGAGAAACATCTTTTATTGACTCTAAAGAAAGGAATTTAAAAGGGCATCAAAATGTTAGACTTCTCACCAAATATAAATATAACCTCATTTAATTAGGGAAACAGTTTAAGATCTGCGCCTTGGAAGCAGAGAAGCACAGTTAATAAAATGCCAGAAAAAAATTAACATTATAAAACAGTTAACTCAAAATCAGAATAGTTCTTTAATAATCGCAAATGAACTTTTTACAATATCAGTTTTCTAACTTTCTGGGCACACTTCCTGGTAAACACTTGAGTATACTCTGTGAGTTACAAAGAGTAAGTTTTCTGTGTTACACAGATAAAAAAACCTGGACATTCTTAACAACTTGGCATCACATCTTCCTTTAAAAAACAGATCACACAATAATTTAGACAGCATTTATAGCATTATAAAATCAGACTCCCCCTCTTTAATCACTCACAAGAGCAGTCATTTAGAATACAACAGCTTTAGGAATACAAATAATGAGGATGTAAAACTATCTGTGCAAAACTGCATTGTTTTTACTGTCTAAAATTTCAGGGAAGTAACACCGCCAGAAGCAGAGAGAGGATAACAAAGACAAACAGTCATGAAAGCAATGCTACCTTAGATTTTCAAACAGGAATTACATTATGAAGTAAGTATTCGGTAAAGAAAAAAAAAAATCTGATGGCACCTTGAACAACAATGACAAGTGTCCTGGAAATTGCAGTTGAACAAGAATTGATACACGTTCATGTGAAAGTCTCTTTCAGGAGTAGCGACTGATTTAGGGGTATCAACTCTAGCATTTCTTTCCATGCAAAAATCTATCTTTCCAACATCTTTGCTTTGCGGGCTACTAATGCATTTAAGAATGAGCAGTCTTTTGAGGAGTGTGCTTTCTTCCATGCATCTGAAATCTTTAAAACAGCTGGATCATTGATTCCCTGGATTTCCCTACTCCAATCCATTTAACTGCAGGAGAGAAAAGCAAACTTTTATTGTAAGTAATACAAAGCAAGAGCAAATTGTATCTTAAGAGGTAAACTTATCTTCTTAAGCAGTTAAGATTTTAAGTGCCATACTCTGAATAAAAGCACAGCATATACTATTTGCACATTAAGAAATTTCAACGATGTCTGTTGCTCTCAAAGTAAGAACACACTGATAACTTAGAAAGGTGGGTACAGCCTTGGAGCTGCCCTAATAAATGAATCACTTTTCCAGATAAAAAGACAAATAGAAACTGTCACAAAAGTAAAGATCTGCATCATCTCCAAATTCCCAGCTTTGGTGGGAATGACAGGATCATCTTTATTAGGGAGCATAAGAGAAACTTATTAGTTTAGGAACTCTTACTGTCACATATAATTAATCACATTAATTAATAAACAGTACTGACAACATAAAGTAGCAAAACTAAACCCCTTTTATAACCAATCTGAAAGACAGTTAAGCAACTTATAAAAAAAAAAATCTCAGTTGAACAAGAACTATAGTATAAGCCAAAGAAAGAAGCATATTAAAGCTTCTGAAAATTTTCAGTTCAACAACTAAAACAGATGGATAAAAAGAAGTAAAACCATCATCACAAGTGTCACCAGGTACATCACTATTATGACAGCAACAAACTAGTTTTCAGTATTTTGCATGTTCATTAATACAAAAATACCAGACAGGTTTCATGGAGCAGGAATAAACCAAATAACAAGAAAATCTGTTTTACTTACCAGGAACGCCCAACTCCATTTCTATAAAGCGAACATAATTTTGTGCATTTACAGGCAGCTCATCAAACGCCCTTGCATTCGATATGTCCGTATCCCATCCTGGGAGTGTCTCATACTGAACCTCTACTTTATTTAAGACCTCCTGGTTGGCTGAGAAGCAAACAAAACCAAAAATATTATGTCTCTGCATATTATATATTCTCTGTTATGAAACACATAACTATAAGGCTTTTTATTCTTTTCTTACACAAAGAGGTTTGCCCATAAGATAATACAAGCACTTGAAGATGTAAATTTTTGTTAATATAAGCAAAGGGAAAAAAATCCAGTAACTATCAGGACTTTAGGAATTCCAGTGCTCAGTCACATGCATTTATTTTGCTTAAACCACAATCTCTTCAGTTCAGAAAACAACTTTTCAGGGAAAATAATTCCCAAAAATGTTGATTTTTTTTCTGAACAAACACCAAGATCCAGCTCCCCCTTCATGAGGGAATTGTGAAAGCAAAATTAAGCACCAGCTTGTAAGGCAGTTAAAACACATTTTAAAATGGCATAGGAGCGTACTTTTTACAAACGTAGTCACAAGATGCAGTTTATACTTAAAAAAACTTTCGATGCCCACAGTCCCTTTACTCCAATACTCTGCAATAGATTTGTCAACCAGTGTGGAGTCCCACAGGATGTATGAACAGTAACTGTTCCAACTGCTTCTCAGAATAGAAACAATAAGCACATTCCATTTTGTCCTTCATTTAGTAACTTGCTACAATGTTGTCCATTAACTCTGAACCCGCTGATGATTTCAAGTACTGAAAAAGATGCTAGGCATATTGTTCTGGCAATCACTCCAGTAATTATCTGAACATTAGTCTTGGAATGACACAGGACAGCAAAAAAAAAAAATAAGCCCTAAGCCTGAAAATGGTCAAAATACACTGATTACAAAAAATGAGAGGTGGCAGGCATTCATTCTTGCCTTCCTAAAAAAGACAGGGGCCTGCCAAAGGCACTGTAATTTACATTATGTAGGCTCCCTGTCTCACATCAAGTCGCTCCTGCAAAGACATCTAGTCAGCCTGGGAGAGCGTTTTAGGTGCAAGAGGCACAGCAGAGGCACAAACGCGAAGCCACAGCTAATCCCCTCCAGCACGTGCGCAGCCAACAAACTCAGGCTCAGCCTATTGAACCATTTGTCCTGGTGCAGGCAGTAGTTCAACAGCAGCAACGCTGTAGAGACAGCCTTTACAAACCACCTTTTTTGAGTAAGACAGAAAGAAACTCTGCTCTACTGTCCTCAAAACAGCAAAGAAATGTGCCATTTTTGGACTGAGGTGTTCACAGGTTAAAGGCAAATGATCCTGACTCAGTACTTGTAGTAATCCAAACAGACAGACAGGCACATTAAGTATGTTGGTTGTAGAGGCCAAGGGTAAGCACATTCTTAAACGCCAGCAGTAACAACTGAGGTGTTGTCTGCTGTCCAGGTGATCTGTAAAACAGGACAGATAAACTCAAAGTGCAAAACCACAAACTAATCTCCAGGGAGTGCAGATTGTCACCAGCCTTTCTTTCTGAAGAGGGACAGTGACTAACACCTCATCTTTGAGGTCCACAGGCATTTTTACTTTGAAGCCTCTCTGATGAGGTTAGAGGGAGAAAGCTGAAAGCAACTGGAATTGAATGGTCTCATTTTGACTACCATCTTCCATTAGTCTGTACTAGCTCAATTCCCTACTTCCCCATAAGAGAGAAGAAAAAGAAGGGGTACATTTCTTGATATTTCAAATGATTCTTTAATTTTGTTCCAGCAGGTGTGATAGAAGATGGGTGGTAAAGATAAGCAGTAAACTGAGCTCAATGTAGTAACAGTAACAGATGTAGTCACCATCTAGATTTCTCTCAGCCCTTCACTAAGGGATTTATCTTTTAGGGTTTCTAGAATATTCCTTAACAGCTTAATGAAATAACAGACAGAACAAATATAATGATATAATTCAGAAAGTGATGTGATGTTACTTCCAGCTCAGAAATAATAGCTTGCATTTGAGACTTGACACCATTGTAAGCGAAAGATCCTCCAGCAATTTCCAGAAACTGAACATAAAAATGGTCATACAGATCACACAAAGGTGCATCTAGAATAGTGTCCCAGCTCTCTGATCTACAGCAAAAGTCCAGGGAAAAAGTACAAGAGAAAAAAAGTAAGCAAGAAGTAAAGCTTCTCCAAAATAACCTCCAAATTTCCTAAGGATTTGTGTTTTCAAAGTTTCCTGAGCTCTACAGAGGTTGTGTGTCTCTCTGATGAGATCAGCTGATGTCTGAACTTAGACAGGAGGCCTTAGCAGAAGTAGACCCCAGCTTTCACGTTCCTTTTAAACTGACCAGCTCAGAGCTACCAGAGAGTTCTACCTTCCATAAACTTCTATGACTGGTCAGCTCCACAGTAAAAGACTACAACCTCAATCATACCAATCGAGGTCAGCTGTAAATTTATAAGACATTTAAAGTTCTTTTTCAAGAAGCCATTATGAAATGCCCACAGAAAGTTAAGCTAAAAAAAAAACCAAGTGAGACTCGTATGATTCTCTGATCCAGGTGGAAAAAGGAACAATATATGAAATATGGCATGCTTTTCCTGAGATGGTGGGTACTGTGTGTGCTTCTAATTTAGAGACAGTCATTTCACAAGAAGAGTAAATCATGAACATCTCCAAGAGAGTGGGAGGATAGCAAGGGGAGAGAGAAAGAAATAGTATGCCAGTGAGAGATTCCCAGACTGGATCTTTTCTAAATTAAATTCAAATGTCAGTGGCAAGTTTGGGGAAAAAAAAAAAAGCACACAGCATGCAGAGATGCAGACATCAGAAACAGTCCAATAGCCTGCAAAAGAAAGGGGGAAGAAAGTTACCTTTTGTTTTTTTGTGCCAGGGGCAGGGGTAACCTGCAGCATATGTGCTGAAAATGCTGCCAAATGTTGAGGAGTATAGCAAAGAGAGGTGTGGAACACAGAGGCACTGTGAGAGACAGCATCTTCCAGCTTACCAGAAGTTCAGCTCAAACTCCTTCCTGACACTTTAAGGAAGACAGTATGTCAACAGCTTCTACTAAATTTCTACCAGAATTCTTAATTGTTCGTACAGTAAAGAAAAACACAGGCAGATGAGCCACATTATGCTGCTAGGACCAAAAGGTCAGCTACCTGTTACCTGGGCACATACAAAGGGAATGAAGTCTGCCTCCTCAGGAGGTGTCTATAACCACATTCTGGTTCTGAGACACACAATGAATAAAAAAAAAAAGTACTGGACAACAGTCTTAGTACTGGACAACATGGCCCCTGCTTATGTCATCTTTAATGATGGACTGCCAGGGAAGGTCTTCCTGGCTTGAGCACAAGACAGTCCAAATAGCCTCAGGTTAAATGACAGGGCTACAGGAAAAGCATTTACTGAGTCATTCTCAATTCAAATGTGCAATCTCCATTATGTTCAAAGGCCATTTTAAGCACATACAAATGTCCTTAATGTTTTGATATGGCTATTAATTGGGATTATCTGACTCTTAAAAAGGGAAAAGCATCCCCTGGTTTAGTGCAAGATAAGTACTAATTTCCTGAATAAAACTGCACAACATGTCTTTCAGCATGCATTCAGACTAACTGGCACTTCTGTTTGAAGATACTGAAGGGCAAATCAGAGAATTCCCACAAGCACATGGAGAAACAAAAGATTTTTTTTAATTTCTTATGAATTACCAGATATGTGCCATTTTCAAGGACTACTGGCAGATCATCACTTATTCCTTTATAAGTAATTACATCTTTGTACTTCATAAATCCTGCTGTGAGTTGTATCCAATTACTACAGTTCATCTCCTCACTCACAAAAAGTTCTCTGTTGATGATATCATATGAAAAACTGTAACCTGTGACCAGCCTCTACTCGAGTTACCAATTAGAATGAAAATGGGCATCTATGCACACATTAGAAAAACAAAAAAGCCCTGTCTTTCATATTCTATAATGTTCTTCCTTTTTTCTGGAGCATCTCTACTACTGCAAACTGAACAAGACGCACTATCTATAAAAACACTGGCTTGTGGTAGTTGAATATTGATATATTTACATTGATGAAGTAAAAATGACCGCTAAAATGACCACTGTCCTCCTCAGGGGCTACAGTTTCTATCATGCTGAGACAATGTACTTTTGTCGTGCATTAGAAAATACTTGCTTTAAACTAAACTAATTGTTCATTTCCTCCTCCACCCATTTTCCACTTCATAGGTGTAACAGGTTTTTGGTTGCTCTGTGAGCCATTTAAGGGAAGCAAATTATTAGAAAAGTAACACACTGAGAGAAAAATGTGGCTTTTCAACAGCACCATGTCTCTCTCGTGGTTCACAACACGCTTAAATGAAACTTGGCCTGCTAAAATTGGGGATCAATACAGTACAGTGGGAACAAGGTAACTGGGTTTAGAGTATGAACCAAGCTTCTAATTTAGCCTGAAGGTGATTCAGGCTGTATAAAAGAAAAGGGATAAAGTAGTAACAACATTTATGTTTTAGAAGCTTTATATAGCAATTTGCATCTTTCTAGCAAACAACAGTATTTGGTACAGGTGTCTTTAGGGTGTGGTATTACACGTCCCTGTCACATCTAGGAACACATTAATGGCTAGAAACAGAAGTAACACATTGCTGCCCTAAGTTTTACAAGTAAAATGCATTTAAAGTATCAGATTATATTTCACCAAAATCTAAAATTGTTAAAGAAGCAATCTTACCAGGAAAATGAGGTATGATTTCACCATCTAGTTTGTATGCAACACCAATTTTGATTTCTGGAAATACATCTAAGATATCCAATTTGGTAAGTGCCAATCTACAAAGAAACATTACTCCAGTTAATCAAGTTCAACAACTCATGAATCTTATCACTCGTAAACAACAACAACAAAGAAATATAATACTGATTTCTGCTAACTGCAATCCATTTCATGTGGCACTAATCTACTATTCGGTCTGACTTCAAAAAAAAAAACCAAAAAACAACCACCACCCAAACAAAGCAATAAAACAAAAAGCCTTAAACATCCTTTTTGTTGCATCCTTAGATCTAGTACAACAAGAAAATGGCAAAAATCAAAGAACAGGTATTCTCTGGTTGAAATGATTGGTCTATAGCTTAAAGTGGTATAATTTTAATGATAATATATAATTTGTATTTTTAATGAGCATGCTGCCAAGATACTTTATGACCATTCATGAGATGGTTTTATTTCATGATGCCTGTTGCTGTCTGTTCCTGTCCTCTGCCAATATTCCTGTCCTACAGCAACAGCAGCAAAATAACCAAACACTGGCTCAGCAAATACCTGGCTGCATCTTATTTTAAATTAACAATCAACAAATCAATACTAACAGTCTGAATGTTACTAATTAGCATATGTACAATTTACAGTAATCTGCATCATTTCATGATTTTATGTCAGTTTGCCAGCAAAGCTGTCGAAAACACTCACGCAGTAAATCCATTAATCATGTAGGCGTATCGGAGTGAGACGAGGTCCAGCCAGCCACATCTTCTCTTTCTACCAGTGGTAACACCAAACTCTTTACCTCTCAGTTGCAGCAATTCTCCAATTTCCTAACAAAGAGTAAGACTATCACATAAGTGTGTTGGGTTTTTTTGCTTTGAAATACATCATGCAGGTGACTACTTAACAACACTTTACAATATACAGTAAATTACCTTAAGAAATTTTCATAGTGCTGTCTGCTGCGATGAAAACAGAAACACAAAACGCTCTTCCTAATTCATGAGAATGTTTTTTTATGCAAACTTTTCAAAATTTGTTCCTCCTCTAGCCTTCTATTCCATAGAAAGGTTTAAGAAACTTACAACCATATTACAACGGTTTACAATGGTTTACAAACTTGTAAGCTCAGTATAGAGTCAGAAGGTGGAGACATCCAAACACAGTCATCTACTTGCATTTAACCATTAACTCTAATTTAACATAAGAGAGACGAGACACAGCAAGATATTTCACCCAGTCACAGGTCACATCTAGGGCTAATAATACTCACATTATCTTGTTCTGTAGGAAAGGCACCGATTCCAACTCTTGTTGTATATGCTTTCACAACTCCATACACTTCCCCAACATTCTGTGGTGGCATGCCCAGACCAGTACACACACCTCCAACTGTGCAGTTTGATGAAGTCACAAAGGGATACGTGCCTATTAAAAAATAAACTCAATTGTTTTAGAAAATTATTAAAACTTGGTTTTAAAGTGTCGGGTTTTTTCAAAGATCTAACCTGGTGATAAATAGTACTTGCATTGCACTTACCTAGGTTTTACAACACTAAAAACCAGAACACAAAAAAAATGTATTCTGCAATCAAGAACACATTCAACGAGCTCTTAGATTTGTACATACATTGTCCACCTCTACTGAAAAAGGTAGAAATCTTACCACTTACTTCAACTGGTACAGAGGGAAAAGTTGACTACATAACAATTCTGAACGATACAGGTAAAAAATTGGAGTAGGACACCAGAAAGCCATGCCTTGCTATCTTATATATGATATACTCACCAACAGAACAATGCAAAAATTTAAGTGGAGATTTAAGAAAACTGTATTAAAAGGTTAGAGAATACAGGTTTGCCATTTTTAATTTTGAGAGAAAAAATAAAATACAATCTCTACATACTGGTCAGCACACTATAAGGATAAGAAACCGCAATAAAACGCAGAGTTCTGGAATGAACAACTTTGCTTCCATAATCAAATGAAAAAAAATAATTTAAAACAGAAGACTTCTGGAAGGTAGTCTAGTTCATTAGTGGTAATAGTTTGTTTCTAGTTAAATAGTTATCCTTCATTTAAAATGCATCCTGGACTGCAAAGAGAAGAGTTAAACATCTCAAAATCCTTAGGTTTATAGCTTCTTTTTTTTTTCTTAAGTAATGGAAAAATGAAACAGAGTATGACCGTTCTTAGCTGAATTGTGAATAAATACTTCAGCCTCATAATAACTGCACATCATCAAGAAACTTCTACCTCACACATCAGACTTTTTTTCGTCTTTCAATACAAGTCAGAGATTGGTAAGAGAGGAACAACCAAGACAAAAGCAACTGAAAGCAATAGAGTTCTTTCAGCAATACAGACAACTTTAAAAAGTCAAAATCCTTCAGAGACTGTTCAGTGAGGTTTTGCAGATTAGCTTCAGGTATCTCTAGCTTCTTTTGCTTAATTCAAATTGCTCAAGAGGAGGAAAACCCAGGCTTAAAGGTGACAGTAACAGCAGTTTGCAAGCATTAGTCTTTATCTTTCTTAAAACACAAAGCAGTTGAGCTTTTCTTTACTGACAGGTAAATATAGCAAGTAGAGGTCAAAAACAGAGTCAGTGAGACAACTCTTACTCACTTTTACCTCCCAGTCCGATATATTTACATTGGTTTATTCTCACTCAGTGTTTAAAAACAGGAGACCACACATCCCCAGAGCTGCACCCCCACCCCCAGACAAATGCACATGTGAGCTTCATTACAGGCTACAGGAAAAGGTGAGGGACTGCAAGGCTGGGGATTTACCAACCTCACTGACAAGAGCCACATATTCATAAAACTCACTTCAGTATTAAGACTTCTGTGCAACCAGGCACAGATAAAGGCCTTATTCAGAATGCTTAATGATCAAATTTGGCATGGTCAAACCTTTTGACTAGGGCTTGTCTATTGTTAACCCAAGTGTCCAGTCTACTAAAGGTGCATACCTAAGGAGAGCAGATATTCTGTGTGTGGGTCTCACAGCACAGGCATAAAAAAAAGATATCTAAGTGACCAAAGCAACTCTGTATATATCACAGACACATCTGATGAGTTTCAGACTATTTGCATCTCCTATTTAATTGAAATCCAAAATCCTCACCACTTACAAAACAACCACCTAGAGTTTTCTGTAAATACCTCAGTTTTGCATCAAAGATTTCCCTGTGACAACTATATTTGAAGAATTCTTTTCTCTTTGTTTTTTGATTTGTTAAAAAAAGAATGCATCCTTCTAATATTCAGATAATCATCGGAAAACTTGGTGCACTTACGGTGACTAATCTAACACATATCTTTTCCTCTTAAAGGAAGAGGCTTTCAAATTCAGTATGTTTGGAAATGCCCAATATCAAAACTCCAATCAGTTGAAAGCAGAGTGTATGTCAATTTTGTATTTGTTTGACAGCACTCCTTAGAGGCTTCAATTTCAGGCTTTAGCATCTTTCTAGCAATAAAAATGATACAGTTACAAGGTTAAAGAGACTGAAGAAAAATGTGACAAAATGCAGGAGTCAATCACAGAGTCTATGAGATGTATATATATATATATATATACACACACACAGAGGTATAATAAATTACCTGTTCTTACAATATAATGACAACAAAGCATAAAAAATAAGAAGCTGCTTCTATCTAGAAGCTTCTGATTTTACTGGCAAAATTACAGTGTTTTAAGAAAACTGCACCATTTTTAATACCAAATTGATTGGGATAACCTTTTCACTCTTGCCTCATTAGAAATTAGTGACACCTTTCCTGACATTGTGAAACAGTAGAAAACTAAGTGTTATATAAAGACTTTAGAAAAAAGGCAAGTTGATATTCCAAAAGTCAGGAAGTATTTTGCATATACACTTTGCCTCTTAAAGTTCTCCATTGCTGTTCTCAAGTCTTTTGCATAGATGTATAGAATTGTGAGTTATTACAGACACTGACGTAATAGGTACACTCTAAGAAAAGCCACCTCATCATTACTGTTCTTCAAATAATTACTCTAGGGAGAGTCTAAACCTTTTTGAAATACTTTAATTAACACACCCACTCATCCACCCCTTACTATTTGCTAGTAATATAGAGCACTGTTCTTCCAAAATACAAAACACTTCTGCCATAAGAGCAGCTAAGCACGGAAGAGTTTATATTTAGTGTTCTTCTTTCACAACATAAGTGTATAGCAACGTGTCTCAAAAAGGTCATACCTACCAAAATCTATGTCCAGCAGTGCTGCATTTGCACCTTCTACTAAGATCTTCTTTGGTGGTCCATGTAAAGCCTCATACATGAAATAAACACCATCCCTTACCATTGGTTTTACTTTTTCCATGTAGCCCTGAATAATACAAAAGACTGGTTGTATAGCATAATTTCATTATGATAAAGACAGCCCGAGTAGAATTGCTATTGTTACCTCATAACAATGCTCATATTCCTTCCGAAAAGGAAAAGCAAATGAAGAAATGCTAAATATGACATAATATGTCATATTGGAAGGAAGAATGTGAGACTTAGATTTACACAACAGACATGTATGCTCTAGGAGGAAAGAAAGAAAAAAGAGGTGGGAGTGGGAGCAAAGAAATAAAATCTAAACTTCTGGAATACTTAAGAAATATTCAAGCATGATTATAATCACTATACTTTACTGTATTTGGTATTTCACTTCCGAGGGAATTTCACTTCTGTCCATCTGAAGCCAACAAATGCACACAATTGTAAATTGTAATTTGTAAGTAAAAGAAAAAAGTTACTTATTGGAATTGGGGGTCAAATGCTTGAATGCCACTGAGTAGCTGGATGCAAGAAGCCAGTAATTTTCAGATTATCACTTGGTACAGAGTCTTCTTCCCCATTAGAGACACGTGGAAGTTCTCACTTTAACAATTTACTTCACATGAAATATAACACTTTGTCTTTCAGAACTGAATCAAGTGCATTAGCATAACACAAGTAATTTTCCTCAAGCTACAAATACATGTTTTTTTCCACCCTAACAACGAGTTTTAGACATTCTAATCCTAATGTGCATTAAGTAAACTATAAAGCATTATGAAGAACTCAACTAACAGATTTCTAGGTCTAAATATTGATAAAAATACTACAACTCAACCTCTGCAACAGGCATTATTTAAAGTAACAAAAACAGAAGTGCTATGAACTTCCAAATATTCTATTCTAGAGCTGTAGAAATGAGTTTAGTGACAACTAAGGGTACAAGAAAAATGGTTTCTTTGGTCTGATTTTCTGAAAGAATTAAACATGTAGTAACTCCCTGTTCCACACATATCACAATGGTTTTAAACACTGTGTCACATTTCTAAAGGTAAAAAAAATCTCATATAGTTAAGTTCCTATAAAAATTATGAACAAAAAGGCTGCGTGTAAGGGTAAGACACTTCACAACTTTTTCAAATAAGTTGGATGAGTGCAAAAAAAAAAAGTGAACACTAGTGAGAAATCTCTCAGCTGTCCCAATTGCAGGGAAAACACCAAATCAGAAACTGTAATTTACCACAAGACTAGTTTGCTGGCAATAAGGTTTCATTAGCTCTGCTACTATCAACTTACATTTTTCTGTGTTGCTAGACACAGGTCGTTTTTCTTTTCTTAAGGCTTGTTACTTAGAATAACAATTTAGGTCAGTTTCTGACACAAGGAATTAATATTCCACTTCACAATGAAACATATTTTCCCCAGCTACAATCCTGGGTCTTTTAATCCTAGGTAGTATGTCTGAGCCAGGGGAATTAAGTAAAAAATGATTCTCCATATGCAAGCCTTTTTCTTAAAATTTACAGTATTTCTCTTGAAACCAAGTACTGAAATGCTGCATGAAGTGGGATCAAAAGTGTCCTTAAGGATAGCAGACTCTTCAAAATGGATACATAACGATTTTCCATGATATGTATTCTAACTTCTCCCACAAGCACAAGCATCAGTCCCCAAGGGATTTACATATCAGTATCTGCATACAGTGATCATAAATTTTAAGATACAGAAGCAGGCTTACCTTGAGCTTTTCCAATTCCCCTTCAATATCTATCTTTAAGGTAGGATATATTGCTTTGTACTGATTGGCTAACACTTTGAACCTGGAAGGCAAAAATGCTTCATTACAGTTTTTGTTTGTTTGTTTTCTGCCTCAATCCCCCACCATTAGGTTTTACTGGTTACATATCTGCAATAATTTGGTAATTTAACAATTTTAAGTAATAAATTACATTAATAATTGACTATGATTTAATAATATTTAGATAAAGGTATTTTTATATTTTAAAATAATCTTGATATAAAAAAAATTAAATTAGGAGGAACCAGATGTAATTGCTTACACTGGGTACTACCCAGAAGCTCAAAACTAGGCTTACAAGAGTGTATTAAAATACAGAAGTTACCTCTCAGAAAATTCATCGAAATCAGAGACAAGATCACACATCCTGAGTCCACTTCGAGCTGCCTTTGAAGAATACACTGGACCAATTCCTTTTTTGGTAGTTCCCAAACTTGCAAAAGATAATAACAGGAGTTATTCTTGATATAAAACTAAGGTTTTTCTTGAAAGGCAATACATCCTCAGCATAAAATAAAATGCTGTTAATTGTGAGCATTTAACCTTGTTTTAAGCATTTAAAACAAGATACTTCTAGTATGCGATCTAGTTTCAGAATATCACTGTTTATACACACAAATATGTTAATCTTATACATACTTCTGGTTTTAAACCAATAGCTTTTCATACTTAAGTGAATTCTTAAATATTTATTTGTACGCGATTCCCAACTTTTATACTCAAAGAACGGAATGCAAAGAAAACATCCTTCAGTACTAAGAACTGAAACTAATCAAATACCTTCTAAAACACTGTCCTGAAGACCTAAAGAAGTTCTCCATAAAGTAACAACAAAATCAGTATGGATTTCAAGTTTGTATACAAGAAATATTTAATTTAATTCCAAATACACGAGTTGGAGTCAGGAAAACAGAAAACACTGCCAAGCATCCAAGAGTGGCAATGATACTCAAAATGCTGCATGTTAAGAGTTTAGGGATGGATTTTCCACTGCAGTTGATTCTGAAAACCTGAATTCCTTCTTCTCCTTACCTGCCCACTTTGCCTGAAAAGCTTTTTTCAGCTTTAGTCCGTGATATCGTAACATGTAACTTGCTTGCACTGATTTTACTGTGAGAGAAGTACTAGTTCTTCTACCAGAGTCTTGCTAAACAGCTATCAAAACGGAGCCAACCTGCACTCGTTACGGGCAGATTATCAAATATCTTCCTCATAACTCTCAATAGATTTAAGGAACTTTCTAAAAAGTGCAATGGCTGCAGCATTTTCAGAAATCTGCTGTATATTGCTAAGCTGAGTTTTGCACTTAATTTAAACTATTTTGGTTTGTTTGTTTTTCCTGACCAGACACACAACCTTATTTTCTTCAATTATAAATTCCGCATACACAGAGGGGCCCATATTTCTTCCAACTGCCTTGAAGGTACTATACCAGAACCCAGTTCAAGAGGGTCTCCATTTCAAGTAGGAGGCACAGGTCATATCTGGATTTTATGTTAAAAAGTATCAATTGATACGTGAGTAAACAGAAATACAGTTCACTATTCGTTTTAATTAGGTCCTTAGTGGTTTGTATTGCATTCAACACAATAATTTTTTAAAAAATACCTGGAGTTCTTCCAATTAGACTCAAAATCATGTAATCTCAGGGACTGATGTTTACCTCCAGTCCCAAAAACCAGACATTCTAATCAACTTTGCATCACTCAGTATCATTTAGCCAGACCAGGATACTGTGGATTAAATAACTCACCCCAATTCATACCCTCCACAGAGAATCTTTTTAAGGAGGAAGAGTTTCCATTTATTTTGTTTCATTATGACATACCAGACAGTTAAGCTGTCAGAAGATTGTATTTACAGAAGTTATAACAACTGTATAAGTAGAACGTACTTTATTAGATTACCTTCTCTATAACATTCTCCAAGGAAAACTACATGAGCCTTACTTGTGACTGTTTTTGAGCTACATTTGAACAGGTAAAAGCATTTATTTATTAAAATAAAAAATAACCTTACCACTTACAATGTTCAAAGTGTTAGACACAAAAGAATTTAAACACCAGATATGCTATGTAGTCAAATCTACATGAAGACATAACAGCAGGCTATTTCAATTCCTCACCCCCAACAAACAGGAGACAATCTTTTGATAATCCACGATAGTCTGTTCTTAGCCAGCCTGCAGTGCTTCTCTCCCCACTACCGTCACTTAGACAGCCTTAAAATTTAGGAGGAAATCGAGAGTAGTTTTAACGAGTTTGGAAACTGTACGATTGTTGCAGAATTTCAAGAACTCCACAGAAAGAAGAAATACAGCATTTTTAAAAATGACTTGAGTTTTTTAGCTTTGAATGTAGCTTTTTTTCCTGTTTGGTTTTTTTTTTTTTTTTTTAAAAAACCTAATTGGGCTTTCCCTGACAATCATTAACACTAACGAACAAAGTAGTGCCTTCTCTCAAGTAGCTCATTGATCAACAGTGTTTTTCATTGCAAATATTGTCATACAGCAACGTTGGGTTTCACTCCATCAGTATTCAAGAATAGCTGATAACCACATACTGACTCAAGTATATTCTTCCATATACATATATGTGTTTGTGTAGTCTTTCTGATTGCTTTTTAATTCCTAAAATAACAGGTAAGGAGACAGCAGGTACAGCAAACTCATGTGAAAATGACCCAGTGTAAAAATAACTGACAATTATCACTCAACAGCAGCCTGTGTGAAGTTAAGATACACTCAAACCAGACACTCTCTTAAAGGTTATCAGTGGATGATACCTTTTACAGGTAAGGATGTCAGAATTACTTTTCATCCACACAATATCTCTTTTTGGAAGTTTGTCTAAGTTTACTGGTATCTGAGAAGTTTATAGCGTAACCATTACTTCCCAGTTGTAGACAGGTCACTGTTAATTCTGCCACCTTCTTCCCCAGCCCCAAGAACTAGGTAGCTACTTGGAAAGCACAATTTAAAAACACAGCAGATAGTTTCTGAAAGCTTCAAAAAGTCATTAGCAGCCCGTAGTAGACAATGTGAACATCTACTTGCACTTCTAACAATAAAGCATCATGAGATACTAAATTAGTTATATAAGACACCTTTCAGTTATTTGGAGATGACAGAAGTGTCCTTCTATCTTCATAGCAAGAAATATACTGTTACAGAAACTAATACCTCCAGTAAACAAAACATTTGGAAGCAGGAACTCATTTTATAAAGCAAATTAAGAACTAGGAACTTTTTCATAAGACAAAATATCAAGATAAAACTCTTTAATTAGGAATATAATCTTTCACTAGCCCCTGAAAGACAAAAGTGTAAGAAATGATCCCTGCATTCTCCACATTTAAGAGTTACATGGATAATTAATATTTTTTTTTAACTAAATGACAAACAGTAACAGATATTCAATGCATTAAGTCATGTTTGTACTAAGTCATCCCACATTTGACAAAATAAAACTACCTACTTCTTTCCTGCTTGTTCCTGCCTCTGTTGTTCTTGGATGCCATCAGCAGCTTGGTGGAAATCAAACACTAAGAAAATAAATAAGTTGAAAATTTGTGTGAAACAAATAACTGTATCATTATTTCTGCATTATTATTAATTATTTGGATTATTATTAATCAACTGCAGCCTATCTTTTTATCAATGTGGAAAAATAATACATACACTGAAGAAAGGCACGTAAAATGAGAAGAGTTTTTTTCTCCTCTTTTACAAGTAACATTTTTTCAGAGGGAAGAGTTATAAGGTTTTTCAGATACTTTCTTTAAAGTGTTTATTTTGTAGAATACTTGCAGACTGAGTATACAGATCCCACAGAATAACTAAGTCATTTCAGCTTTGTAGTAGCCCTAAAAATTATACAGATTAAAAAAATCATGCAGTAGAAAAAAATCCTGGAAATAGATTGTAGTAAAAAAAAAAAGGAATACTGCTGAAACTTAGGTGGGAACTTAAAGTGAACATTCTCACTTATTCTAAAGATTTCTTAAACCATTTTTATGTTCTAAACAACATCAATTAAAACACATCTGGAAATACAAAAACTCCTGCCAATATCTGTTATGATAACAGAGGTCATCTTCATAAGGCCTGATTTTTTATGCATTACATTGTTACTAACGACAAAGATTATGCAAAGTATCCCTTGCATCAAGTCTTTGTCTATCATAAAAGCCAAAAAATCCCCAACCAAAATCCCAAATCTTACAAGACTCATGTCAAATACAAACATCGGCACACAGTATACAGGTGAACAGAAGCCAGTTTAATCTTTTTAAGTGCTATCCTCCTGAAAGTTAAAAACTAATGTACACATTATACAGGAAAGATTGAAAACTTACAAGTACTTACTTCATTTAGTAAGTACTCATCTCTCTACAAGTGTGGTTTTCCTGTTTGCCTTATCAATTTGGTTTTGTGTTTATTTCCACACATTCCCGTGTTGTAAAGGATTACATTATGCCCAGCAGCCTGAACCTATCTTTGGTTGACCCTTTGTTACAAACTAATTATTCACAGAACAACAACAGCCCTTTTAGAGAAGACATTTTTATCATGACAACAGATCTTCAGATTGCCATCAAAATCTTCGTAAACAGAGGCAATCTGAAAGTTCATTTCTGTTAAGAGGCTGAATGATTATGAGTGACAGTCAGTTACTAAGCCTTCTTATTCACAATTTGTTTAGTGATAAAAACCTCCCACTATTGCCATTGCCATATAATCACCACAGAAAAGTTTTTCTAATAATCAAGCAAGTTCCAAGTCGTTCACCTACAGTGAGTCTACTATCAGAAAAGATATTGGTAACTTAGAAACAGTTACTAACTATTCAACTCATTAGTTACTCCAAAGTAAAAACATTTACTGTAAATAACATGTTCATTCACTACGCTACTCCGGAGTTGTTTAAGAAAACAACATACAAAAAACCCCAAAGAAAGCAAAACCAAAAGCAAAACCTTTTTTCAGTGTTATAAGCTTTAATCTCATAAAGTCCTAAACAGCTTGCATCTTCAGAAAACGACTACCAGAGCAGCAATAATGTTACAATATCCAAAGAGCTAATTTAAAGGATGAATCCATGTAATAAAGATGTGGTAGAGGAAGAGTCTCTGAAGCTCTGCATTGGTGGATTTGACTCTAAACACTATTTTACTCCAGGCTCTGAACTGCAGCGCTGTCTGGAGCATAGGCTGGAATCGGTGCTTGACTGATGAGCTCCTTGTGAGAAGGGCAGTCATTCTCTCCATCCCTACAGAGTCCTCACCACAAAATCTCCTTTCGGAAGCATGTGGCAATTTCCTTGGTAAGGAGACCATTAGTTTGAAGTCAAACCCGGTCATGTGGTTTCCCAACAGAAAAGTTGCTGTAAGCAACACAGCTTTTGCACCAAAAGGGTAAATGAATCCTCCAGTCAATTCACTTTTGAATGCTTTTTGACTGCTGCGTCTTCTCATCTTTGACTTACAGTGAACCTGCTTTCCTGACTAGGTGATGTGTATGGAGTAGGATTAAAGAGTCACTAGGATATAAAATTGGGAGGGTCCTGAGTGAGGAATGTTTTTTTCTAGGACCTTCAGTAAACCAAAGCAGCCCACAGAGACTTAATCCAAAGAAAAGTACAGACCTACGTAAAGAGATGGCTAAAAGTTGTCACACTTTTAATGCCACAAAAAGTTCAGAGAAATCAAAGAATAACAAAAAAAAAAAAAAAATCAACAGAAAACCAAACCCCAAACAGGAACTTACCAATATGAGCCCTGTCAGAAATTATTAGCCTTTTCTCCCAGCCTTCCAGCCCTTAAAAGACAAAAGTAAATAGTTAAAATTATGTTTTGTATAGTGTTTTTGTCTTCTGATGTATAAAGTATAAATGTTTTTCATGTTTAGTCTTCAGTCAATCTATTTAAAGACCAAGCAACCACATTGTAGAGTTTAAAAAAAAAAAAGTAATTCCAGTAATTAAAAGTTGGCATCAACATATAAAGTTGAGAAAATCAGGCTTATTCTGAAGAATTGAAGCTACTCTACTAATTCCTCAATTTTAGCAAATAATTAGGAGCTTTTCTGGTTTTGAATAATCTAGACCACTGCTGCCAAGCACAGCAATAGACATAACACAAAGTATCCAAAAACTGAGTTCTGAATCAAGAAGTGATTACCACAGCACTTGTTTACATTAACAAGGTCAAAGTGTACATCAAAACTGTAAAACGCAAAACAACTGTGAACCGGTTAACACACTTAAAGAAGTTGTTTCACTCCTTAAATTCACTTTTTTAAGCAAAGAAAAATGTCTGTAGGTAATTCGTATTTAGAATATATTCTGAAACTGTACAGAGACTTCTTTTATCTGTCTTCCCATAAGGGACATGAAACTTCTAGCAAGACTCCTGTCAGAAAGCAGCAGCTAAAGGGAGTTATGGAAAAATACATTGTATATAACCTCAACAGAGGCATTCTCCATCTAAATTTTTTGAGGAAAGACCCACAAAATATTTTAAAAGTAGTATGTTAAAATTTTCTCACCTTTTCCTTTCTTTAAGTTTTTTTCAGCTTCTTCAAAGAGTCCTGGCAAATGAATTACAACGCCATTTCCTGAAGAAAACCATTACATTACATTAATTTAATGCATTGTTGAGCATGGGAAAAAATAACAGCTCAAAGGCACTTCATGTTTTATGTGCAGAGTATTTTATTTAAGTTTTTTAACTTTCAAGATAAAGCAATTTTTTTCCTCAGGTATTTGTCTAAAAGACAGATTTACTCCTTTCTACCTACATGTGTTGAATCATTTTAATAAACTCAACTAAACTTTCAATTTAGATGAGGACAAACAGTAACAAAATCGTGGGACAGTCTGAAATGCAACTTCCTCCTCCTCTTACCTAAAATGAACTTCCTGCTTTATACTTCATTTTAATAACTCTATTGTTTTTTAAAAGCTTAGCACATTTCTATGATCATTATAAATGCTAGCATCCTCTCAGGCTGTGTTCCCTCAGCAGCAGACACAAGATATTCTGTACACAGAGTTGGGGTTGTTAACAGACTAGCAAAAATAACAGAGGAAAAAGATCTGTCAAAAGCAAGCTCACCTTCCTACAGCTGTCACACTGCTCAGAAAAAGACTACTAGCTCATACAATTAACTGGCATCACTGAGTGCCTAAGGAGGAGCATTCCCACATGGCAAAACTGAACCATCTTAAGGTCACGCTAAACTCAGTAGATCAAAAGCTACCAGTACAACACCTAGGTAAAAAAGGGACCTGCTGTTCAAAACTATTTACATAACACCTAATTTCACAGAAATAAAGGCATTTTAAGCATCAAAATATAAAGTATTTTATTTATATAAAATTTAAAGTATTTTAAAAATAAAGTATATTATTTATATATAATATAAAGTATTTTATTTATAACCTTCATGGTGCAGTCCTAATCAATGGGAATACTTTATTATAATACTTCAATCATTTTGCCCTTGCCCTTTTTTGAACCTATAAGCTCTTTCACTGGAATCCTAAGTTGGTTCTTTTTCCCCAAAAAGAGACTTTAGGCACCAGGCAAATCTGTAAGAAGCTAGAACAACAAGCTTCAGAACAGCCAAGATCAAAAGACAGAAGATACAGACAAGAGGTTCTGTAAAAAGCTCTCTACTAACTACTGTGTTTTAAAGGATGGGGGCTTTCCTACTCAACCAAGTCCACAAACAACACATGACAAAGAGGCATCCTTTTTTACTGTTTTCAAGCAATAATCTCCTTAAGAAACATAACTGCCTCAGCCCTCAAAATTAGAAACAGTTAACATCCCAAACTCCCTCTCATCAACAGGAATCTATTTCCATGCCCATTGGCTCAATTTCTATAGAAGTATTAGTCAGGGCAAGCTGATCCAAAACTATCCCATTAGCAAGTCACAATATAACAGCTGAAAAGAGGTAATTAACCACCAAATCCCATCAAATATAGAGTTAGTGCTGACTGAGAGTACACAGTCACTACAAACTGGACTGTTGATAATCGAGTAACTTGTGACAGAGACTCTCAAGCTGATGTTTAGCAAACTGTCAATACTGTCAATGACCACTTGCTCTTGGCACATGTACCAAGCTGAGAGGCAAGACTACAGGCTCAAAGCAATGAGGTGCAGGAAGAAGGGACAGGAAGAGCATGGTAACAGAGTCCTGATTTGGACAAGTACACTGTTTAAGGGACAGGAGTTCTGGGTATCAAAAAAGCAAGATGGAAGTGTTGTGAGGTCATAGTCTTTAGTGACCCAGAGATCCACCTACTTAGGGAAACAGCACTCAAGGATATACGTAGTTATAATGCTGTGTACACATTTTATATTTGTCTTCATTTTTAGAAGGAAATTGTATTGGCTACACAGTATTATTAAGCAGGTTGGTCATATAAACAATCTAAAGGAAAAAAAACAAACATGTAGGATTGGAAACAGGATTCCAAGACAAGGAGGGGAGTAAGTAGGTTTGTAGGGACAACATATAGAACAGTCTAAATCCCCTTTCAGGAATAAAACAAATCATAGATCCTGACATCACCTAATACTGCCGCTGCGCTAAACTTCTAATGTACTCTCCTGAGAGGACTTCTTGGTAAGAACTTTACAGTGAGGAAGTCTTTTGGAGTCAGCATTCATTTCACAATTCAATGGAAAAGAGAGGGAAGATCTGTGTTTCAAAAAGTACCGGTAGGGACTTAGCAGGGCTAAAAATTTAAACGGAGAGGAGGTATTTGGAGAATAAAATAAATAATTGATAAAGAAAATAAGAGTGAATAGGAAAATGAAGATATCCTGGGTGGCTAGCTGTTTGTATCGATAGATAAGAACAAATGTGAACTATCCAAGACAGTACAAGAAGCTTCCATAATCCAAACTTCAGAAATGAGTTAGGGCAGTATTAGGATGACAGCAGAACAGTTCAAGTCTATTAAAAATTGAAGAAAAAGAATCCTCACCTTGTATGTCCTCAGATACATTATTTTAACATGTCAGAAGGCTGTAACTACAGTACTCTATCTTTTAGAGATGTCCACTTACCAATGAATGCAGTGACCTTTGGATTGATGATCCCACTTGGCAGAAGGTGAAAGTCATACTCCACAGCATCCACAACAACTGTATGTCCTGCATTATTGCCTCCCTGAGTGGGAGGGAGAGAGGGAAGAAAAGAAAGTTTTTTATTAGTTTTTGACACTAAAGGCAAATGAACACAGTATAAATATGGAATAAACTTGTTTCCAGCTCCAATTCCACATTTTCATTTCTGTTACTGACAAAAGATCTTTCAGAGATTTCCTTTTCCCAGGAAGTCAGCCAAACTTCTGTCAAACTGGACAATTTCAACATCAGTATTATCTGCCATACAGACTTTGCACAGTGTTTTGGTTCATCAAAGGTACAGAAGCTTGGAATAAGATTAAAATGTTTCTAAAAATTATTGGACAGAAGCATGAATATTCTAGATAATGTAGTCATTTCTGAAAGCCATCATCAATTTCATTAGCTTTCTGTTACAATTATGGGAAGTGTTGAAAGTGGAACTGCAACCTTAGTAAAGTAAAAAAAAAAAACCTAATTAAACTCCATAAAACCATACAGTTATTGGGAAAGATAAGTCTAGCTGTTTGGCAACGTGCAAGCTTGTTGTTCTGAATTTTGAGTTCAGTCTTTTGAGTGCTTTTGTATGAACAGCAACCAGCAAAGTTAACTAGTTCATTCTACACCTCCTGTGTGATGAGAGAGGTTCTGTAACAGTACAAATTCATTTTTACCTAAAATGTTTCATTTAAGGAGAGAATCTAGAAACAACTATGACTTTGTGGTTTTGGAAGTTACCAGAAACCATTTACTTAAAACTAACACTTAACATTTCTAACTCTTTTCACTACCACAGAGAAAGAATTGAGAGATTTGTTAAAGTGTGAAATAGGTCTAAAATACAAAAAGAAGCTTGTGACTAAGTCTTAAAGAGGGTCAAGAAAGGCTTATGAAACTGAAAAGATTACGAAACAGTTACTAAATATCCCCAGATCTTGTTTGTTGTACTTTTGAAAATAAGCTTATACTCTCTTGTGACCCAGTCATTTGTGCAAGATAAGGTTACATACAAAATGGTTGTTTGTCATAACCACAGGAACAGGCACCTTGCACCAGAAATAAACAAACTGCTTCAAAGAAGGAAAACCTTAAAGCAAAGACTTTTAAACTCAGCTGCATTTCAGCACAAGACAAACTCAATAAAGCATTATATTAAAAGAAGAAGAAAAAGAAATTATATGAAGTATTAAGCCATGGAGTTATAAATCTGAAATATTTCAGAATATTGCCTCACATAAGATCTTTTCTAAGCAATGAACTCACTACTTCTACAATGTCAAAGCATGAATCCAATACATAAAGCCGTATCTGACAATACAAATAGAGAACAGTTGTAGATACCAAACATTTTTGCCAGTACATAAACACACATGCCACAGTTTTTTCCATGTAGTGAACACTACCTGGAAGCAGCTGTAAAGATTTCTGGATGCAGATTTTCACTGCAAGTGATCTGGGGGACTCAGGCAGAGAATGACAAATTTTTGATTCACAACATGTGAAACCAGGTCTTTCAAGTTTATTCTTTTAAGAAAATAATAAATGTTCAGGAATAATCCTCCTGCTTCCGTTTTTTCTACTCAATAGTAGCTCTAAGAAAGATTATTTCACAATCTACCACTCTACAACTGTATCTTTGATTTTAAAGTATGTTAACTAGCTGCATTAGCACATAGATCATTTACAGTTACTTTTGAAATGCAGTGCTGATACTCCTCAGCTACTGCAAGTTACTCCAAAACTAGATATTATTCTAAGAACCATTAAGTCCTATACTAGTAACTAAGTAACTAACTAAGTAACAAGAGACACCAGTTTTCTACTCAGTGTTTGAGAACCTAAGCAAAACGTTTCCTGGTGAAGAACAGTTATGCACTGAAGTAGCATTTATAGTCAAGTACATCTGCTGAAAGTGGTAATTAACTTCTTCCACATCAGGTTCCTTCAAATTATTTCTTTCTATTAGATCCACTGTTATTATCAGTCTAGTTAATATCAGTTTAACATGAACACCAAAGCACTTTAGATGAATATTCAATAGATAGGTCTAAGTACAACACTGAACTAATAAGGTACTAGTAATTTACAAATGGGAAGGTAAGTCCAAAGTCTCCCACTGCAGCATAAACAAACTGGACTAATCCATAAGCAATACTAAGATCAGTAAATTCATTTGAAATTCTCTACAAGCTGGATGAGTTAATGTTTTGCTTCTCAATTTAAGAAAAAAAAAAAAAGAGTTCTCTAGTGTCACGAATGTCAAATAAAGAAAAAAATGGTCACTATAGAGATTAGATCATGATCAACAATAAATTCTTAGTGTCAAAGTTTGCCAAGCCACTGGTGCCATTCAGACGCGGAAACTTAAAGTTCAGCAGTCACATGTGCTTGAGTAAGGTGTACAGCATGCAGCCTCTGACTCTGCTAATCACGAGAACACAGCTCCTGACTTTTGGTGGTGTCAAGATTTCTTCTTTGCACTGCTGAGTGATGCCAACGTGTGTTGGTTCCACGCTCACTGAAAAATACCCCACTGTTAACAGAATAAAAATGGTATTTTACCTTTTAAACCTTGAACTACTTACACAACAGCATTCATGATTCATCTAGAAGTAAGATAGTTCTATTTACTTCTGCATATTTACTGTGAGTATTCTTCAAGAGATTTTGCTAGAGACTAATGTAGAAAACGTGTGATGAATCACCCTCTGAAGACACTCTTAGACCATAACTAATACCTCAAGGTTTCCAAAAGCTTATTTTCAGAGTAGACTCAAATTTGAATCTCAGAATTTAGTTGTTGATAATATTATGATGCCAACAACCGGAAAAGATTCAGTCCCAAAAGTGCTATTGATAGCAGCTGTCTGGTAAAACATTAAGTCACTTCACGCTCTGCTTTGGATGTTACACTGTCATAATATGCCATTTTGAAAAATATTTTTAATTTCAAATGCTACTTTAGGAGCCATTAAAATAACAGCATGTCATGAACTCAGTTTTCAAAATTCTTCTGCTGATTTACAGGTAAGCTCTACCCTAACCACAGAAGTGCAAGCATATGAATTGTAATATATTAAAATAATGGTGCACACTTTACAGTGAACTTGCAGTAAAGTGTACACATGTGTGCTCAGACATTGCTCAACATGGGTTTGGTAAACAATTCTCATAACAGAAATCTGAACTCAGAGTTCTAGTGGTGGTGAGGTGAAGGAGAGTGTTGTTGTTAGGTTATGAGGTTTGAGTTTGTTTTGGGTTGTTTTTCCCTCATCCAGAAACTGATGTTAATGCAGGCAACTATTGCCTCTGAGTATAACTCCAGGTGTAAACTGATGATGTCGCTCCCGGTTTCTTTGCTTTCCATCTGGATTCCTCACTCCTCCTCCCTCAAACTAAACCAAATGGGATCAGTTAGGTCATTCAAACTAACATTCCTTTCATTCAAATGTTTAAACACTATTAATGGAGAACTAACTGTGGAATTTATTTTCACTATTACTTAAAGTTCATGCTCAAATGATCTTCAATATCTTGCATAAAGCTTTTGCCAGAGGGAAATTGAGACATACAAGTAACTTCTTGAGGTTGGTAATACTCCCTAGTTAAGTAAATAAAATAATCAGTTTACTACATCTCGGTAACCTTCTAGGTACCAAAAAAACAGAAGTTCTCTCCCATAAATGGGAGAGAAAAAACTGAAACACCCCTGTGCAAACACAAACAGCGGAGAAGTGTGCAGCAAGAGCAAAAGATGTTGCTACTCAGTCTGGAATACACTAAGTGCATGTAGCATTCTGCCTTTCACTTTGCACAACAAGACTTCCTTCAGCTGAGCCAGCACATGTGCCATGGCCAAGATACTCATGAGGGCAAGGCAACTCTGGATTCAGCTACAAATAGATGGATCGCACAAAAGGACAGAGAGGGAAAAGATGACTTCTTATATCTGAGAGGTACAAGAAGGCCCCAGTAGCACTCTGAACAAAGAGCTTCTTTACTGGGATGCTTCCTTCCCGTTCTGCAGAATGGTAGCAGAGAACTGGTAGAAGAATGGTAGCAGAATTCAGAATGCAGGCTATGAAGGACGACGTCAAGTAGCCCAGGCTTTGCCAGAGGAAGAGAAGTAATATTGTGCAGGTATAGAAAAACCAAGAAAAAAAATTAAGAAGGTAATCAATACAACAAAAGAGCATGATATAGTCAGCAATGTCTAACAGACTCAAGACTGTGCTTTCATGGTACTGCAATGTAATATTTTATTCCAAAATTACTCAAAAGACACTTTTTGAAGGACAGCAAAGACACAAATACCTAATAAAAAAGACAAGCAGAGAAGCCCTGTTGAGGAGAAAAACCAAAAAACCCTAACAAAACAGTCCAGGATAGGGGATATACATAGGACCAGAAGAGAGCTTTCAAGGTCAAAACACAGACCTCCTGAACCTTCTTCATAAATTTTTGTGTTCTCTCCCTCTGCTTCCATGGTTTCCACGCTCAGATACAGTTGTATAAGAGTGGTCTAAACCCACTGATCTAACATATGAAGAAGGAAAAAAAAAAAACCCCACACACCAAAACAAAGCAACCACACACACACACAAGACCTACTCATTTCTTTATGTGCTTCCTAAAACCATGTTTGTGAAAATTTTCTTTTTTCACTGCTGCATCTCACAGGATGTTACAATACCATATACAGCACTGTAAACTCTCAGATCACCTGACAGAACAGGAGAATCAAGATTTTGGACCTAAATAAGACTGTCTCAAGTCACTTAAAAACCCTTCCCTTCTCCCCAAAACCTCCTGCCTCTGTCAGTTTAAACAGTTATTACGAAGAAAATGTGTAATTAAAAAACAAAATTAAAAATTCATAATACTCTAAACATTAATCACAGAAATTCTGATTTTCTTTCAACTAACAACTGTGTATATTATTTTCTTAAATACAAAATTACCAAAGAGAAGATCAATCATTGTGTTCATTTCTAAGTATACCCCTGTGCACATTATTTAAGTTCACTTACATACAGCAGAATC